TTTTTTTTAGAGCTGTGGTTTTTGTCGTAGTCTTAATTTTTTGTACCTTTTTTTTGTCCGTATGTTGGGCGGCGATGACCGGCATCGCGGTGGTTGGGAAGAGGAGGGGGGAGTGGTGGTGGTGGTGGTCAGGGTACCGGGTACAGGCACCGGCGGCCGTCCGGCTGACCTTTCTCTCCTGGCGCTCTCACGGCTCTCCGCCGCGCCGTCCTCCTCCCGCGGGACCGTTTCGCACGCGTTGGACCCCGTTCCGCACACTGCCCGTCCCGTCCCCTGCCTCCGTGACCCCCGCCGGACCGGGGGGGGTAGTGGTGGTCAGGGTACCGGGTACAGGCACCGGCGGCCGTCCGGCTGACCTCTCTCTCCTGGCGCTCTCACGGCTCTCCGCCGCCGTCCTCCTCCCGCGGGACCGTTTCACACGCATTGGACCCCGTTCCGCACACTGCCCGTCCCGTCCCCTGCCTCCGTGACCCCCGCCGGACCGGGGCGGGTAGGGCCCCACACGCCGCCTCATGCCTTATCGAGGGCGCCTCGGCGCGCTCTGGCTGGCGCTACAAGCCAAGGCCGCCAAGTCTGATTTGACCTTGCCATATTGGCCCGCGTCCGTCTGCCGCCCGGCCTGGCCGGGGACACTGCAGGGTGCAGGGCAGGGCCCCCCTCTCATTGGTCGGCATCGGGTGCTGCGCAACTCGCTGCTCCGTTTTAGTATTCTCTTTCCTCGCGGGTAAACTGCGCAAGTCCATGCGTCATCGGCCATTCTAAAACTCGCATTACATTACAAAACGTTAATTTGTTGTCAAGATCGAGATGGGACTCGATTATGCGTATGTTCCTCGGTCTGTTCAGAGTGGAAATCTGAGACCCCCCCTTCCGGCCTCCTTCAAATGCTCTCATGGCACTCGTATCGTAGAATTCGGCACGCAATAAAACGCACACAACGCCGAACTGTGTCGCGGAAAAGTACGACGAAGGCTCGGCTCGGTTCGCCAGATAGAACTTTGTCGGAAAGCTCTGATTCTCATTTGGGGCGCGGAAGATTCCGCTGCGCCCGTTCCATTTTCTACTTCCAAGACTTCCCCCGCGGTTGTTTTCTTTTTCACATTGCGGTTCACTCTCCTCCGCCGCACGGCCGCTGCAGTCGTAACTTATTTACATTCGCACTGCCGATCTTTTTGTTCTCCACGCGCCACGCTGCTGCACTGCAGCTGGTGGGCTCTGATCTCTAGTATTATAGCGGTGCACTGCAGTCCCGGCCCGGGGGTGAACGCCTCCGCGAGTGGCTCTGCAACAAAGCGCTATGCTGTTGACGTCGCAAGAGATCGAGACGGAACGGCGGGGCGGGGGTGCTATGCGGAAGGACAAAAGGAGGGGGAGGGAGAGTAGGTGAGAACCAGTGGGAAGGGAAGGCAGTCGGGCAGAGAGATATGCACTGACAAATAGAACGGTGAATTGGAGGTTTACTTTTTTTCGCGCCTTTTGCAGTTGGTGTTTGCGTCGGTGTTTGCGTTGAGCGGTGCTCTGGCGGCTCCCCCGCCACAGCCACGCCCCGGCCTTCACCCTTCCCCTCCAGCGGGTATGGAAAGCTCCCGCGCCATCCCGCCTCAAGCCGAAGCCCTGTTTGTCCAGCCCCACGCGTGCGTCACGCGTTCGTCACGTGCGACCGTTCGTCATCCAGCCACGTCCCGCCCCGCCCCACCCTGCCCTGCCCTGCCCTGCCCTGCCCCACAGTTCGTGTGGAGGTGTCGATGAGGTACGTACGACAGTGCCCACCTTGGAGACGGCGTTTGTTGATGACGTGGTCCAATTTCACACCAAATGCGGAATAAAGTGTTGTGGCGTGTCGGGGAGTACCCCCCCCCCCTCCTCTCCACCACGTCAGCCCCAGTGCCCGCTCTTTCGTCGTAGTGCCTGGCGGACGAGGGCGTGTACTGCCTCTCCTCC